AATTAACCTCCATATTTTTAAATATCTGAAGAAAAGGCTGTACGATTTGAAAGTCATTGCCTCTGGAGGACAGGGGAGTGTTATAATCCTTTTTAGCACTATTTCACTTTTATTTTTAGATTTTAAACTTTTATTCCATCCATGATATCTATTTCATTTTCCTAACTATAAGCACATTTTGCTTTGGTAAGTAAACAAACATTTCAGAGCAATATAATAAAGAGGAGAATTGATGGCATTAAAAGATCTTTGTGTGATAAGATCAAAGCAACCACAAAACAGATCAAACAAGTTTAGAGTGGAAATCAAAGAACAATTTGGCTCTATTTGTGATATTTGAATTTTACTAGAATGTTTTAATGTATTACTTACAAAATTAATGAAATGTAAAAGCAATACAAAAACCAATTGTGGGGAAAAGTCAACCTGGTAGAACTGGCTTGTATAAAAAACAAAACATTAAATAAGCTGCTATCTTTTTTTGTTTGTTTTGAGTCAGGGTCTTGCTGTATTGCCCAGGCTCAAGTACAGTGGGATGATCATAGCCCACTGTGGCCTCAAAGCTCTGAGCTCAAGCAATCTTCCTGCCTCCGCCTCCAGAGTAGCTGGGGTTATAGACACGTGCCACTACCCCCATCTAAGTATCTCTTATTATTATTTTTTTGTGGAGACAGAGTCTCACTATGTTGCCCAGGCTGGTCTTCAACTCCTGGCCTCAAGTAATTCTCCCCCAAAGTTCTGGGATTACAGGTGTGAGCCATTTGCCATGCGCTTGGCCCAGCTGCCGTACTGATCTATGATGCAGTAGAAATGAAAAAACACAATTCATGCTAGAAAACTAACAAAAACACATTCATTTTAAAGAAACCTCAAAATCTGCCAATACATGGGCTGCCTTAACACGTTTTAAAATATGTGCTTTGTTGCTATTCTGCTCTGGGGCAGAGGAACATTCTTAAGAATGTTTCCCATTTCCCTTGTAGAGAGATGACAGTGGCCCATCATTGCATGTGATGAGGTTTCAGCCCGGTGAATCCGCATATGGATTTTCCTGGATGGGCACCATGGCTGTTAGACATTCCTCTGCCTCAGAGCAGAATAGCAACAAAGCGCACTGATCTCCTTGAAAAATTAAAAGATTTCTCCAGTTGTTAAATTCAACCCAATTCAACTCAAAAAGAGCACATATTTTAAAACGTGTTAAGGCTCTGGGAAGTGACTGTTACCTCTGTCCTGACCTCTCTTCAGAGGCAGACAGAAAACAATGAAAAGGAAAGCATCCTTGAAGAAACTTACAAATAGCCTGAGGTTTTCAGAAGGGCTGCCAAGTGCAGTGAAAATTGAACCTGGTCAGGAAGGAGGGAATTAGAAGTCTCAAAGTGCTGCAGAACTCAAGCAATGCATAAGCTGCCTGAAAGCAGTTAATCACGTGGTGCTCAGCCTGTCTGGGAGCGCTACTCCGGGCCCCATTGGACACCACCTAGTGGCAGGGATGCTGAAGAGACATACAGACACTCCATCTTTGCAAAAGGCAATCTCTCAGCATGGCTGGGGAAAGAAAAGGGACTGGCATTAAGATTTTGCTTTTTAAAACCCATGTCTTGGCCAGGCGTGGTGGCTCACGCCTATAATCCCAGCACTTTAGAAGGCCAAGATGAGTAGATCACCTGAGGTCAGAAGTTCAAGACCAGCCTGACCAACATGGAGAAACCCCATCTCTACTAAAAATACGAAAATTAGCCGGGCGTGGTGGCACGCGCCTGTAGTCCCAGCAACTCGGGAGGCTGAGACAGGGAATCGCTTGAACCCGGGAGGCGGAAGGAGTGACTACCTCACATCTATTAACATTGTGCCAGATGATATGTTTTTAGGGCATCAGTTAATTTAATCCTCAAAGCAACCCCAAGAGACAGGAGCTCTTCTCCCCATTTTACAGATGGGGAAACTGTGGCACAAAAAGCCTAAGTAAATTGGCCCAAGTCATATAAATCAAAAGTAGGGTAGCCAAAATTTGAATCGAGGCCATCTCACTACTTAGCCTGAACTCTTAACCCCTAAACCAGGTCAGGGGATGCTGATCTTAGTCAATCAAAATATTAGAAGGCTAGATCATGGTATGAGGAGCTGTGGTTTAAAGCTTTGCTGCTAGACAGTCTGCTCAGGCCTTAGGGTAGAGTGTTCATAAGAAAGTGCTCAGAAACAAGAAACAAGAACTGGAAATACAACAGATTCAATGAATTCAACTCAGGCCCCCTCCCCAATACTGTGTCAGCAAACAGCTAGCTCACAACAGCAGCCCCTTTCAAAGCTGATTGATGACCTCAAGATAACTGGCAAGAGACCTATGTAAAAATCCTGCAAGAAAGGAGGAAAGAAACGTGACCAATGAAAGGCAAAAAACATATACCAAAAAAATTGCATCATTAAGCAGATGAAAATGATGGATGGGTTAATAAAAAGAAGGTGTTTCTGAATGAAGACCTCAAAGAATAGATAAAAGCCTCAAGAAATAAGATAACAAAAAGATACAAAAGTGAGCTGGCAAAGTTCATGGAAGAAATGGAAGAGGAAAATAAAGCCATTGCAAAAGTGAAAATTGTGTTAGAAAAAGTAAAACGAGGCACTGAAAAACACAGCTAGAGGTATAAGGCTTTTGTATGAAGTCACAAAGGCAAAATATTGAAGAACTAAAAGCAGGTATAAAACCTTTCAAATTATCAGGAAAATAAGATATACAAAACTGGCTGGGCAGGGTGGCTCATGCCTGTAATCCCAGCCCTTTGGGAGGCTGAGGCAGGAAGATCACAAGGTCAGGAGTTCAAGACCAGCCTAACCAACATGGTAAAAATCCTGTCTCTACTAAAAATACAAAAATTAGCTGGGCGTGGTGGCTCATGCCTTTAATCCCAGCTAGGCATTAAAGGGAGGCTGAGGCAATAGAATCACTTGAACCCGGAAGGTGGAGGTTGCGGTGAGCCAAGATTATGCCACTGCACCCTAGCCTGGGCAACAAGAGTGAAACGCCGTCTGAAAAACAAACAAACAAGGATATATAAGACAAAGCTCAGAAACACTGAATGATCCCATGAATGACGGAAAGCAAAACCCATAATGCACCCCCAAAAGATGACTGAACTAAAGTCAATGTACCATCATATGTGCAGATATAGAACAATCTGCAAGACATAGGTTTTAAACAGCAAGGTCAATTAAAAAAAATTTTTTTTTTCGGGACAGAGTCTTGCTCTGTCACCCAGGCTGGATTGCAGTGGCACGATCTCAGCTCACTGTAACCTCCACCTCCCGGGTTCAAGCAATTCTGTCTCAGCCTCCCAAGTAGCTGGGATTATAGGCATGAGCCACCACAACCGGCTGAATTTTTATTTTTGTAGAGACAGGGGTTCACCACATTGGCCAGACTGGTCTCGAACTCCTGACCTCAGCTGATCTACCCACCTCAGTCTCCCAAAGTGCTGGGATTACAGATGTGAGCCACAGCACCCAGTCATTAAAAAGTAAGTTCAAAAAGTGTGTTGAGTGTGCGCTTGTTTATAAAATAAAGTGTGTGTGTGTGTGTGTGTATAGTCATGTACCCCTTAATGACATTTTGGTGAACAGCAAACTGCACATATGACAGTGGTCCCATAAGATGATAGTATCATATTTTTACCATGCCTTTTCTATGTCTAGATACAGAAATACCATGGTGTTACAATTGTCTACAGTATGAAGTACTGTAACGTAGTATACAGGTTTGTAGCCTAGGGGCAGTAGGCTCTACTGTCTAGGTCTGTGTAAGTACACTCCATGGTGTTCACACAACAACAAAATCGCCTAATGATGCATTTGTCAGAAGGAATCCATATTGTTAAGTGACACATGGTTGTGTGTGTGCATGTATGTATATATATGTGCATGTATGTGTATATATGCATGCTTATATATGTGCATGTATGTATAGCAAAAGAGCACTATAAATTATTAGACTATAAACAACAGTTGTCACTGAGGAGGGGAATCATAAGGGAAGAAAAGTTACTTTTCATTGTATACACTTGTGCTATTTGAATTTTACTATCATCACCACTTCCACAACAAACTTTTCAAAGAATAACAAAGTATGTGTATATACAAACCATCAAGCAAATGTGAAAATATGAACCACTACAGAACAGAAGGCTCTAGGGCCATTTCTCAGGTTGAGTGGGCCAGTAAATACCCCAACACATTTGAACCCCTGTCTACATGAGACTTTTTCTGAGAACCCAATAAGATTTTATTTTATAAATGAGTAAATAAATGAATGAAATGTGTTCCAGTTTTTGCAAATCCGATCCTTCCTCCCCTGGCTAAGGATCCAGTTAACTATTATCATATTACTGCAGAACATCAATTCTTTCAGAACTTTTCCAGCCAAGCTCATACATACAGGCATAACAATGTTTCTTTATGTGCCATTAGAATGAGTGTTGTTCTGAACAAATGTACTTAACAGTTTCAGCCTAGAGAGCAAGTGACCCATGATTCTTTAGATCAACAAAGGAAAGGGAGTTGCTGTATGTCATTCTGTTTATGTTGAATTTTCTCCATGATTCATTTACAATAAAGGTAGAAGTAGAGAATACACAAGGAATAGCCGGCATGGACTGCTTTCCTGATGTCTTCACTGTGGCCCACTTGGAAATCTCAGCTACAGAAGTAGGGTCAGAGACATGTTACGGGAACCCTTAATGATAAAGGCTGTAGTTCTTGTACTATACTCAAAGGTCCTCTTCTTCATGTCCTGTTTTGAGATGTATGATGCTTAGGCTACAGAAAAAGGGATCTACTTAATAAAATGAGCCAAATGTCAAGTGACACACTTCACTTTCCATCTAAAGTCTAAACCTCCAAAAGAACAAAATAGGAACCATCCCCCAATTGACTTGAAATGAATATATTTTGCCCAAGTCCAGGCTCTGTGGGGCTGTGGCCAGTGCACACATGTGTGTGTACCTGCACACATGGTTCAAGAAGAGTGTCCTGAAGAGGAATGATGGCCCCATTAAAGAAGAGTAAGCTTACCAGCTGTGCCAGTTTTAAAAACTCAACGAAGACATCGCTTCTCAACACGTTTGGGTCCATGGTTACTGAAAAATATGGACGGTGAGCCAGGTTAGCATGAGCTGGGCTGGGCCTTGCCTATTAATTGCTGTGTCCTCTAGAGATCGCTCATGCCTTGCCAGTGCTCTGTCTCCTCCCTGAAGTGATGAATGTTGAAACCTTTCAAATACAGGAAAACCCCCAAAGGTTGCCTCCTACAGGCAGCCTTAACAACAGGAACTCATGACACCCATCCAGGGTGACAGTGTTCCCAGGCATCTCACTTTATTTATACACACCCATACTACTCAACATCTATTTTGTTGCCCTACCAGGATGATAATGAAGTTTATATGAAGAATCAGAAAGATCTTAAAACCTACATCTAGACTCCCCGACTAACAAGACACAGGGTAATTTGAAAATTTAATTCAACCAAGAAACATCGATTGAGATGTTTGGAGACACCTCTTTGGAGTCTCACCCAGTCGCCCAGGCTGGAGTGTAGTGATGTGATCTTGGCTCACTGCAATGTCTGCCCCCTGGGTTAAGGTGATTCTCTTGCCTCAACCTCCAAAGTAGCTGGGGTTACAGGCACCCGCCACCACGCCTGGCTAATTTTTGTGTTTTTAGTAGAGATGGGGTTTCATCATGTTGGCCAGGCTGGTCTCAAATGCCCAAACTCAGGTGATCTGCCTGACTCGGTCTCCCAAAATGCTGGGATTACAGGTGTGAGCCACAGCACCCAGCCAAGAGCACCCCTTTGAATGATAGGAGTTCTCAAGATGTTACAAAAAAAAAAAAACCAAAAACAAACAAACAAACAAAAAAAACCAATGACAAGGCAGTCAGAGAGATTTAAAATATTTCATTCTTCTATACTTAACAAAAATATTTTCACCCTTAGTTTTAAAGCTCCTGACACAAATAGCCAGGAGATATGGGCAGAGCAGATGGGGCAGACACACCCCCATGAGAACTGCAAACCCACAAAGTATGGCCCAGCCTGGTTCCTCCTGGTTCACCCCCCTTGCCGCAGATCCTCTCCTATATCCTGTGTTACATACTTACTAAATGCTGCCAAATTTCTTTCTTCCTTCTGTTTTCATTACTGTTTTCCTTTTTTTTTTTTTTTTTTTGAGACGGAGTCTTGCTCTGTCACCCAGGCTGGAGTGCAATGGTGTGATCTCAGCTCACTGCAACCTCCGCCTCCCAGGTTCAAGCAATTTCCTGCCTCATTCTCTCAAGTTGCTGGGATTACAGGCATGTGCCACCATGCCCGGCCTGTTTTACTAATTTCATCAAACATCCTCTACCAGCATTTTTTATCACTGACTTCATTGCAGGCTGTGCCTTTCCCAAAAGACATCATGTTTGTCAAAATAAACGAAGAGAGAAAGTCCCTGCAACACGAGAAACTATTTATAAAAATCATTCTGTCTTTTCCGAGGGGTAATGCCCAGGGTGGAGGAGGGGGAAGCCCTTGCATTATTTTCCGCAACGGGGCATATAGTCAAACTATGAATAGCTATATTCATCAGCATAAGTTATTGGGAATGAGGAAAGCTGCTGAAAAAGATATTCACCCAACTGGTATTTACTGCGTGACTATTAAGTACCAGTACTGGGCTAAAAACTTTGTATATTTTAGCTTATCTAATCTTCATGACAAACTCTGAGGTAAATTATTTCTATTTCATGGACAAAAAAACCGGAGGCTCAGAGAAGGTAGGTATCTTGCCCAAGGTCACACAGCTGGTAAGGAACTAAAGTGGGATTTGATACTGGGTCTGATTCTAGAACCTGTGCTCTGAGTCATGAGGCGAAGCCGTACTGTCTTCTTACTTGACCTTGTCAAAAAGGGTACACAAGTCATTCTGATAAGAATAAAGACCAGTCCTGGAAAAGCAAAACCTTAAGCAGTGTGAGCACTTGTAAAAAGGCCAGGTATTAAAGGAGCATTTTGCTGAGACATGAGAAAACAAACCAAGGGAGAATGAAAATTCAAAAGATATTACATTTTGAACTTGAACTTTGAAAGAGCTCATTCAGTAGGTCTAAAAAGAAGTATGGTCCCATGACAAAAAAACAAAACAAACAAAAAAAGTTAATGGGAAATAGATGGCTTCTAGAATTTTTACGTACTATGTTTAAGAAAAAGATGCAGCCATGAAAAATAATGAGATAAATCTATGACTGCTGATGTAGAATGACCTCTAAGATATATATTTTAAGAGAAAAAAGTCAACATACAGGAGAAAATCTTTTTTCTTGAGCTACGAAGGACATTAGTATAATAGTTGGTGATGCTTTATTTATTTATTTTTAGAGACAGGGTCTCCATCTGTCACCCAAGCTGGAGTGCAGTTGCTCAAATCATAGCTCAGGAGGTCGAGACTGCAGTGAGCTGTGACTGCACCACCGCACTCCAGCCTGGGTGACACAGCAAGACAATGACTCTAAAATAAAAATAAAAAGAGACGAGATCTATGTTGCCCAAGTTGGTCTCAAATTCCTGGGCTCAAGTGATCCTCCTGCCTCAGCTTCCCAGAGTGTTGGGATTACAAGTGTGAGCCACCACTCTCAGCCTAAATGTCTCAGCAGTTTTATGTTTGCTGACTTTATTTTTTGAGACAGGGTCTTTCTCTGTTGCCCAGGAGGGACTGCAGTGGCAAGATCAGAGTTTACTGCAGCCTGAAACTCCTGGGCTCAAGCAATCCTCCCACCTCAGCCTTCCAAGTAGGTGCAGGCACGTGCCACTAAACCCAGCTAATTTTTGTTTATTTTTTATTTTTTGGTACAGACAGGGTCTTGTTATATTGCCCAGGCTGGCCTTGAACTCCTGGGCTTAAGGGATCCTTCTGCCTTAACCTCCCAAAGTGCTGGAATTGCAGGCATGAGCTACCATGCTTAGCCTAATTGTTGAAGTTTGAATAAGGTCTCTAGATAAATTATTGTATCAATGTTGTTTCCTGGTTTTGATACATTGAACATCATTGTATCAATGTTGTTTCCTGATTTTGATACATTGAACATTATTAAATCAATACATGAAGTAGGCCAGGCATGGTGGCTTACCCCTGTAATCCCAGTACTTTGGGAAGCTGAAGTGGGCGGATCATTTGAGGTCAGGAGCTGGAGACCAGCCTGGCCAACATGGTGAAACCCCATCTCTACTAAAAAAATACAAAAATTAGCTGAGCGTGGTGGCAAGCACCTGTAATCCCAGCTACTTGAGAGGCTGAGGCAGGAGAATCACTTGAACCTGGTAGGCAGAGGTTGCAGTGAGCCAAGATCACACCACTGCACTCCAGCCTGGGCGACAGAGCGAGACTCTGTCATAAATAAATAAATAAATAAATAAATAAATAAATAAATACTAGCTGCGTGCAGTGGCTCATATCTGTAATTCCAGCACTTTGGGAGGCTGACATGGGAGGATTGCTTAAGGCCAGGAGTTTGAGACCAGCCTGGGCAATATAGTGAGACTCCATCTCTATAAAAAAAAATTTTTTTTAATTGGTCAGGCATGGTGTGTTGCATATATAGTCCCAGATTCTTGGGAAGCTGTGGTGGGAGGATTGCTTGACCCCAGGACATCGAGGCTATAGTGAGCCATGATTGTGCCACTGCACTCCAGCCTGGGCAACAGGGAAAGATCCTGTCTCAAAAAATAAAATAAAATCAGCAAGTATATAACTGCTGAGACATTTAAGTTGGGTGTGGTGGCTCACACCTGTAATCCTAACACTTTAGGAAGCTGAGGCAGGAGGATCACTTGAGCCCAGGAATTTGAGATCAGCCTGAGCAACATAGTGAGACCTCATCTATTTTTGTTGTTGTTGTTGTTTTTAATCTTTTTTAGAGTCACTGTCTTGCTATGTTACCCAGGCTGGAGTGCAGTGGAGCAATCATGGCTCACTGCAGCCTCAGCCTCCTGTGCTCAAGCCATCCTCCCACCTCAGCTTCCTGAGTAGCTGGGATTATAGGCATGCACCACCATACCTGACTAATTTTTAAAATTTTGTTTAGAGACAGGTTCTCTCTATGTTGCTCAGGCTGGTCTTGAACTCCTGGCCTCAAGTGATCCTCCTGCCTCAGCCTCCCAAAGTGCTGAGATTACAGGTGTGAGAAACCATGCCCAGCCAGACCTCATCTCTTTAAAAAAAAAAAAAAAAAAAAGTATTTTTAAAGCCAAATACAAAGAACACATATTATATGATCCCTTGTATATGAAATGTCCAGAATAGGCAAATCTTTAGAGATAAAAATTACAGTAGTAGTTGCCAGGGCCTGGTGGGGGAGGGAAAGAGGACATGATTGCCAATGGGTATGAGGTTTCTTTTGGGGGTGATGACAACATTCTAAAATTGGATTATGGTAATAGTCACACAATTAATTACATAAATATATTGTAAAAGAATTGACTTGTACACTTTAGCAGGTGAATTTTGTGGCATATAACTTACATTGCAATAAATCTGTTTTTTAAAAAACCCTGCAAATACATACCATTTTGCAAATATTGTTCCAGTTGGTTCCTTCTCTCATCAGCCATAGCTGTGGTCATTGCCAAATAGTACTTTGGTGGGAAGGGTGGCAGGCAATTTCCAAAGACCCGCCTTAGCTGAAAGATCCAGGAAACACAGTTAGGCAGGTGACCTACCAGTTCAGGGTTGATGAGATTACTAAAGCCTCCTCTAGGGCAAGTCCCATCCCAGCACTTTATTTCAAGTTAAGCCTTCCTGGTGGCTCAAAGGGGGAAAAGAGGACAATTTGATTTTCTTAAGGAAGAATTTATTTCAGTATATATTCTGGAGATATTACTAGACATATCACAGACCGGCAGCTCCAGTCTAAGTTTGGTAGAGCTGAGATGTATGTTTATCTTTCATTTGTTTTACAAGACTAGCCACTGCTCACATCATACTATATTATCTTGATTCATTCCACAATAGTGTCTGTGATATCAATGACAATGGGAATTAAATTCCTCAACCCTACCTCCACCAAATCCGAACTTGACAAATGCTGACAGCTGTGTTACCTAATGCGGTAGCCACCAGCCACCTGTGGTGAATCAGCACCTGAATGTGGCTAGTTTGGATTGAGATGTGTTGTAGGTGTAACGTGCATTCCAAATTTCAAAGAAGAGAGAATGTAAAATATCTCACTGATAATTTTTATATTGATTACATGTTAAAATGATAATATTTTGGATACACTGAATTAAATAAAATATATTATTAAAATTAATTCCATCTGTTTCCTTTTACTCTTTTTAACGTGCCTATCAGAAAATTTTAAATTACATAGGTGACTCTTTCTCTTTCTTTCTTTCTTTCTTTCAGATGGAGTTTTACTCTTGTTGCCCAGGTTGGAGCGCAATGGCTCGATCTTGGCTTACTGCAACCTCCGCCTCCCGGATTCCAGCAATTCTCCTGCCTCAGCCTCCTGAGTAGCTGGGATTACAGGCATGTGCCACCAGGCCAGGCTATTTTTGTATTTTTAGTAGATACAGTGTTTCCGCATGTTGGCCAGGCTAATCTTGAACTCTCGACCTTAGGTGATCCGCCCGCCTCTGCCTCTCAAAGTGCTGAGATTACAGGCGTGAGCCCGCCGCACCCAGCCGAGAGACACACGTTATGTTTCTATTGGACCAGTGCTGGTTACAGAATTCCAATAATGCTGACATATGATCCCAAGTAGAAACCAGCCAGGCCCTTCTCTCCCACTTACTCATCTATGACCCATGACCATGGTAGTAATTATTTTTATGGAACCTAAAAAGTGGATGCATAAAAAATTATTTTAAAATTAAGAACGAAAAGTGTGCATCTTTATTACAGCCCTACACTTGTAGTGGCAGCTTGAAGGTAAGGCACAGAATCATTCTCCTGAAAATAAGACAAAGGAAACCACTCAGAAATCCAATCAGGTTTTAACATGGTACCTCTAGAGCAGGAGGGCTGAAATCTTACTATTACCATACTCAGTGGCTTAAAGAAAATGAAAGATGGAATAAGAAAAATGAGGCTGCAAACAGTAAGAATTTTTAATTCCATGGCCTTTGTCACAAATACAGTGAGTATTTGGCAAATATTTACCTTGCATAGATAGGCCTTAACTTCAAAAAAGTCAAGAATCTGATGACTTCCCTCCATGCGCACTACCATCACCCTGGTCCAAGCCACTGTCATCTCTTTTCTAGATTATTGCAGTAGACTTCCAACAAGTCTCTCTGCTTCTACCCATGACTCCTTCAGTCTATTCCTAACATAGCATCTAAAGTGATACTTTATTTTAATTTTATTTTATTTTATTGAGACAGAGTCTTGCTCTGCTGCCCAGGCTGGAGTGCAGTGGCATGATTTTGGCTCACTGCAACCTCCACCTCCTGGGTTCAAGCGATTCTCCTGCCTCAGTCTCCCAAGTAGTTGGGACTACAGGTGTGCACCACCACGCCTGGCTAATTCTTGTATTTTTAGTAGAGATGGGGTTTTGCCATGTTGGCCAGGCTGGTCTTGAACTCCTGACCTCAGGTGATCTGGCTGCCTCGGCCTCCCAAAGTGCTGGGATTACAGGTGTGAGCCACTGCACCCAGCCTAAAGTGATACTTTTAAAATGTAAGTCAGCCAGGTGCAGTAATGTGCACCTATAGTCCCAGCTACTTGGGAGACTGAGGCAGGAGGGTTGCTTGAACCCAGGAGGTCAAGGCTGTGATGCACTATGATAGCCACTGCCCTCCAGCCTGGGCAACAGAGCAAGACTCTATCATCTCTTAAAATAAGAAAAGTAAGTCAGATCATTCCACTGTTTTGCTCAAAATCCTCCTCAACTTCTCATCTCAATCAAGTAAACCCAAAATTTTTACAATGATTCAGAACTGTGCCATCTAATATGATAGGCATTAGCCACCTGTGAGTAAATTTGAACCTAATTAAAATAATATAAAATTTTTAAATTCAAGCTTCAGTCTTGCTAGCTACATCTCAAATGCTTAATAGCCACTTGAAATATTGTAATTTGCTATTCAGTTGGGCAAAGCAGATATATAGCATTTCCATCAGCACAAAAGTTCTATTGAAAAACATTGGTCTAACATCTGGAAAGGTTATTAACTGCCTGCCTGTGGGCAAAACATGCTTTTTTTTTTTTTTTTTTTTTTTGAGACCAAGTCTCGCTCTGTCGCCCAGGCTGGAGTGCAGTGGCGCAGTCTCAGCTCACTACAAGCTCTTTCTCCTGGGTTCACGCCATTCTCCCGCCTCAGCCTCCCAAGTAACTGGGACTACAGGCACCCACCACCACGCCTGGCTAATTTTTTTGGTATTTTTAGTAGAGACAGGGTTTCACTATGTTAGCCAGGATGGTCTCGATCTCCTGACCTCGTGATCCGTCTGCCTTGGCCTCCCAAAGTGCTGGGATTACAGGCGTGAGCCACCACACCTGGCCCCCTGGTTCATTTTTTTGGTGGTTGGTTGTTTGATTTTTAGATAACTGGAATTTGGTAACAGCAGTTATTTGTGTGATTTAAAATTTTAAAAACTTGTATCTCGAAGAGAATACAGAATATTACAACCACTTTGAAAGACAGTTTGGCAATTTCTTACAAAGCTAAACATAGTCTTACTCTATAATCCAGCAATAAATACCCAACTGATTTGAAAACTGTCCATACAAAATGTTTACGGCAACTTTATTCATAACCCCCAAATGTTTATGGCAACTTTATTCATAATCCCCAAAACTTAAACAACAAAGATGTCCTTCAATCTGTGAATGGATAAGCAAATTGTGATATAACCACACAATGAAATGTTATTCAGAAATAAAATGAAATAAGCTATCAAAACACAAAAGACATGAATGAAACGTAAATAAATATTGCTAAGTGACAGAAGTCAGTCTGGAAAAGCTATATACTATATGATTTCATTTATATGACATTCTGGAAAAGGCAAAAGTACAGAGACTTTATAAAAAGATCAACAGCCACCAAGTTTTGGGGCAGGGGGGTACTGAATAGCTGAAACACATGGAGTTTTTTAGGGCAATAAAATTAGTCTATATGAAACTAGAATTGTGGATGCATGACACTATGCATTAGTCAAAAGTACAACAGAACTTCATGTTTTCTGAAGTTTACAACAGAAGCTTCATGTTTGCAAATATTTTTAGAAATAATTTAGGAGTTTGGGGGAATCTGAGGATGGAATGTAGAATGTGATAAAACTACGTTACAAATGTATGAAACCGGTTCACTGAACGTGGTGAGAAACAAAGTGCTGACCTAAGTCGCTTTAAATGAGTGGAGTCTGTAAACTAAAGGCAAAGAAGCTAACTGTACACAGGCATTGGACTCTGGCTGATAAAGTTGTTTCCCACAGGAGTATATGTTAACAGCGCTATACTCCTACATGTGTATACAGAATCAAACAAGTAAATGAATGGCAGATAGTGGGAGTCAGGTTTCCAACTGTTGTAGTGGGAGTTTACACATAAGGGAAAGGGGCTAGAATGATCCATGTGGTAATGCACTAGAGTTGAATATATTAGTATGACCACATGTTTAGTTTAATATAGATACAGATGATTACATATAGAAATATTTGTTCATATGTCCATATACATGGGTTAGTATACACACATATATTTCCTTGCTCTGTCAGCTGAGAGGACATAGATGCAACAACACTCCAGTAGCAATGAACATATCTAGTGCCCAGATCTTAATTTCCAATACCATTCTACAATAAATGCAACCAAGGATCTATGGAGAAATGGCTGATTTCTAGGACTGAGGCAGGAAATATACAAGATGGGCCTGGAGTATCTTGTAGCTCCAGAAAGTAAGGAAATATTCAAAACAAATGAAAAAAAACAAGTCACAAATGGGAGTACCTCAGAGACAAAGGAGCAAAATGAAAGGGCTTCCATGGGCCAAGATGGAATCATTTGACCAACCAAGTAGTAGTGAAATATAACCCAAAGTATAAAGTGAATATCCATGAGTCCTTATAGACTTGTTATTAAATAAATAGGAGCAACTAGACAAATCTCTTGTGCAGAAGAACATCAGATAATTTCTTTTTCTTTCTTTTTTTTGGAGATGGAGTCTTGCTCTTGTTGCCCAGGCCACAGTGCAATGGCGCGATCTCGGCTCACTGCGACCTCTGCCTCCTGGGTTCAAGCGATTCTCCTACCTTAGCCTCCCAAGTAGCTGGTATTAAAGGCACGCACCACCACGCCTGGCTAATTTTGTATTTTTAGTAGAGATGGGCTTTCTCCATGTTGGTCAGGCTGGTCTTGAACTCCTGACCTCAAGTGATCTGCCCACCTCGGCCTCCTAAAGTGTTGGGATTACAGGCCTGAGCCACCACGCTGGGCCATATCAGATAATTTCTATAGATATTCCTCAAGGAGGGGGAGCATAAATCCCCACTCTCAGTGTGGGCTGCACATAGTGACTTCCTTCCAAAGAGGACGCTATGGAAAGAGAAGACAAAGAGGAACTTTACAGTGGAGAAACCTGACAAATACTACCTCACCCAGGTGAAGAAGATCAACATCAAGAGTGTAAGTCAGATGATAGCAGGTACCCTTGATACGATGTGATTAGAGTGGTACTT